GAGTAATAGAAGAAGAAAGTGACAGCTGACAGCAATAATTTAAAATAGCGTCGGCGCATGCGACACCGTTTGTCTAATTCGCGATTTATTTCTTAAGTTATATTTCGCTTCATTGGTTTAAATCGGCTATTGTTATTAGTAGCCGCTAGATGGCGCATGCAACCGGACAGTTTTTAATTAATTTTATTCCTATAAATAGAAGGAAAAACGCATAAATTGCTATTTTTGGTGTATAGTGCATTTTTTGTGATGTTAGTTAAAAATGTTTAGCAAAAAATGAAATTGGTCATAGAAATGCTCCTGTGAAGTTTCTCGTAAAAAATGTAGCATTCTATACAATTGTGTCACCTGTAACAACCCTGTCCGTGAACCGGAAATACCTCCTAACAAATATTTTTACTGAAAATGAGTTCTAGGCGCCATCTGTTGCAAAAAGTTATTATCTACTAAGTATTGTGCAAAATCTTCTAAATGACAACACAATATTAAATGCCATTTTGTTCCAACTGAAGTGAAGCATATATTGTCAGCATTTGCTACTAACTTACATAGCAATCTAAAATATTAGGAAATAACTAAGCTTTCTAAAGTGTCATGTTAAATGTATAATATCAATACTATTTTTCAGTTATAACAAAAAAAAAATAATTTCAATTATATTTAGTTTAGTTTTAACGCACTCCTGTAAAATTTCTACACATTTCACGGACGATATATGTATCATTGACCCTGTCAATGAAAACAGGCCCACAGGGTTGCCATTACTAAACTATCAGTTTTCACTGGCAGCATTTCCTCTCGTATATGTTTTCTTACTCGATTTGGCAACACCGCATTTATATGAACTAGAAATTGTGTTTGTTTTTCTAACAAACTTAAAAATGAAAAATAAGAAAATTTGATCGTTAATAAAAAAATTTGGTATAGTTTATTGCTCTATGAATTGTCTAATATTGATATTTAGCCGTTTCTACAACAAGAAATCGGTGAAAATGGTTTATTTCACATTTGATTTATGGTTGAGACCCAAACAAAAATATCAAGGATTTTAAGGTAAAATTTTTTTTTGTGTCAGCGGATCCAAAATTATTATGTATAGTGTGTTTCAAAGTGTCTAGAAACATTCTGTAAAATTTTAATAATAACATCCGCCGTTCGAGAGTCGGCGTATATTACCAAAATTATTTGTTTATAAGACGAAACCTACGCCTTTATAAAATCTTCGCCCCCGAATAATGCAAGCATGTGGAGAAATAACCACCGAAATGTTCGGGAACATGTTGAACAAAGACTGTATGAAAGTAGATGGGTCGCAATTTGAAACATTTGATTAATTAAAACTTGTTTGGAAACTTTTTTCTTCGATTTATTTCACGACACTCCCAAAAAAATGTCAGCATGTTTAAAAAGAGAATTGAAATACCTTTAAAATGGTGTGTCACTTGACCCCTCGTGCCATTTAATATTATTGAAGGAGTTGCCACCCTAAATCCATGAATTAAAGATCAAAAGAAGTCTCCCTAGAAATCAAAATCGACCGGTCTCGGGGATTTCCCAAAAAACTTCTAAAGTCTATTCAGATTTCATTTACAATAGCTCACAGCAACAGCTCGCGTGGCATTTTCTTTGCGCTTCTATTGGTTAATCGGTCGTTAGTCATTTAGACGACGCGCAAATATTTTTTGTCAGAGTCGAATTCAGTTCAATTTGGATAATTATAAACGGCGTTTTGGTAGCATTCACCGTGTTGGTTAGTTTGGACATTTTGTATGTTTGATTGATTATAATTCATTATATTATTATAGTTTAGATATACATATATTGTGTTATATATTTTTGTTTGTTTTTGTGGTTGTTGTTAGTTTGAACACTTTTTACTCTATTTTATGGACATTTAATTGACTATATTTTGTAACTGCTGCGTGACACAGATCCAGCAGATGAAGTCCAGAAAAATGTTTTTACTCCTTCTAAAAACCGACCGAAAAAGGGACATTTGGTCATCCGTACTAAAGAAATGGTTCTTAATATTTATAAGCATTAAATTTTATAGAACCCTGATATGTTGGTACATGATGTTGAAAGGAGAGTTGCTGATAAAACAGGGATGTGCGCTAAAACCGTTTTTAATGTTATGAAGGAGTATAGGCAGATTAATAAATTTTCTGAACCAAAAAGAAAGCTACGTTATAAACAAATTAGGGGTTCTGTGGATGATTTTGATAAAAATGCAATAAGGCGCAAAGTACATCAATTCTTCTTTAGAAATTAACTTCCAACAATCGATAAGGTTTTATAAGAAGTCAACGATAATCCATATTTGTCTACTTTTAAGCGAGCTACATTTTACAAGCTTTTCAAAACCCTTAATTTTAAATTTAAAACTCGAGGAAAAAATAGTTTGCTTTTAGACAAAATGAAATTGTTTCGTCCTACGCCACAAAAAATAAAACGGTACAGAGAAGAAAAGCAAAAAATATATTATCTTGATGAAACTTGGATTAACGCAGGCGACACCAAATCAAAAGTATGTTTCGATATGTCGGTTTTATCATCCAGACAAGCCTTTTTGGATGAACTTTTAACTGGGTTTAAAAACCCATCAGGTATGTGCGTAAAAACAGCTCATTATATGCCATATTCGAAGTGAAGAAGGCTTTGTCTCTAATGCACTTTATGTATTTAAGTTGAAAAATCCGGTGACTACCATGAAGAAACGTGTGGAGAATCGTTCAAAGAGTGGTTTTCAAACACCCTACCAAAATTAGAAGATAACTGCATTATTATTCGAGAAAGCTGGAAAAAATACCTACAACGACGTCTAAAAAAGGTGATAATTAAAAATGGCTACGAGGGAAAAAATTGAATTCGATCACCAAATGCTTAAGATCCAACTTCTAAAACTTGGTAAGCAACATAAAAATTATGATAGGTATGTAATAGATGAAATGGCTAAGCAGCAAAACAACATAATATTGAATTAATCTAGGTTGACGTTAAACAATACGTAGCAGATAAAAACTCAACATTTAAATCTGGAGACATTAAAATTCTTTTTGAAGAAGTAATATTATTAATTTCTCCAGAAAAATGGAAAAAGTGTATCGACCATGTTCGCCAAAAAGTTGAAGTAAAAATGTGGGAGTTGGATAATATTATAGAGGTTCAAGTAGAACCACTTCTAATTTTGATTAATGAAGATAGCCCTTCAAGTCTAACTAATTTATCCGATTCAGAATAGTGCTAAGTCAAGTAAGGAAGATCGCTATAATACAGGGTACAAGGTGTCTAATCTAAATACTAGTAGAACAAGAACAATAAAGAACAAAAGTTGTCAAAAATACAAAAGGTTTCTTTTTAAGATGCACAATTTTAAAATTCAAATACCAAATACCTCTTATAATTAAAGTTTTTTTAATGCTTTTAGTAGATATATATTAGCTATTAAAGAATTTGCAATTATAATAATATCATTTTATATTATGATTGTTTTAATGCTCTGTATCACAGTAGACATATGTAATGAACTAAATATAATGCAAACATCTCTTTTAAAGTCAAATACATTTATTAATTTGTATTGCAGGTTAACGCAGTTTATGTCGCTCACCTATCTTCGTCCAGAAATGTCACTAAAGTCTGGGAGACCGTGTATGGCATTTATTTTATAGTTTTAGTTTACAAAATATTTTTTATCGTAATAAAAAAATAATTTCACAATTACACTCTTTTATTATACATTTTTGCAAGACGTAAAAGTAAAATACGGCCCTGCTCAATTTTAGCGTCCGCCTGCTTCTGTTTACATCAGGCGTAAATTAAATTTGAATAGACTTTAGGAAAATATTTCAAGAGGACTGTTTTAATTAGCCACCCTGTAGGTATATTTTCGTCGTTGAGATATTTCAAAAAAATTAACGATAATAATACTATTATTTAATGTGCCATGTGGATCTTTAACGCTTATAGCAAATAAGTACACGCATTATATTCTTATTTTGGAATGATTGCGTTTCTTAAATAGGTATAGTAAATATTTAATTTCCTTTTATGAATGTACTGCTTTACTTTTCCAGTCCTTGGTATTTATATTTTGTAAATTTCAAATTTAATTAAGTCTCCCCTTTCTTATTTGACTGATCGGTCTCCTGCCAGCATTCTCCCCATTTCAAGGTTCTCAATATATCTTATACATCTAATTTTTTATGCCTTAATACATGGTTATGATTCTTTGTATATTGTATATTTCTGTTCTGTTTTCTTTTCTCTGAAGATAGCTATTAAGCTTTCTGATATAGGTCAATGATATTATTAATTAACAATAATATATTGAGCAATCCATCTGCAGTCTACAGCTACGTATATTCTTCCTTTTTCTAAGTAATTTTATATCGTTTCTTTTTGTTTATACTATAAGAATGTAAAAAATTTAAGGTTTCAAGCAATTATCATTCTTTCAAGGTTATTTCCACTTTATGTCGCATAAGCAATCTTGTCGAACATAAATAGTGTTTTAGTTTTGAAGTAGTCTATGCAGGAATATTTTAAAATATTTATGCCATTATAAAAAATATGTCCACATTCTACTTGAGTTGTTCTATTATCTCTGGAACCCCAAATTTGTGATAATATTAACTGGGTTTGTGGAATCAAGATCTTGAAGCCCTTTTTGAGCATTAAAAATATCTTACACGTATATTAAAACGAAAAATAATGACTATTTCCACTGCCACTGCCCATTAGCTTATTTACTTACATCTTCAAATATTGTCTTATCGATACTTAAACATATTAACTCTAATTATATACCTTGTTCAAGGTTCTCAATATATTTCCGTTTATCACCTTCATTCCGCCAAATAATTAAAATAAAACAATTCGGAAACACCCTTCAAATTTTAAAATGTATTTATTGTATAAAGGTTAATACAGAAAAATCCTCACTAAGGTTTATTTAAAACGTCCAGTCACAAATCACCCAAACAGTACATGAATCTTACCTCTATCAACTTGCAACCAGCCACACGAACACAAACATTAAAGAATATTCACCCAAACAGTCGTATATTCCTAACAAACAACGCACAAAAACAAAAAAGCAAGTTCCTCGGACACTAACCAGACATATTAAACTACCAGATTTGTGTGACAGTAAAAATTTCGAACATTTTCATTCAATAAATTGTCCAGATACCATACCGCACCATCTGTAACATATATCGATGAATGACAGATCCCAGCGTACATGTAGAATTCACGGATACACTGACCGAAACCGAAGAATCCAACCGATACAGCGCGCTGCAGCGTTGCCAAATTTGAGCTTTGAACATCCATTTCACAGAGACCGGTTTGCCCTTTACCCTTTGCTTTAATCGATTAATAATTTAACTACATCATTAGGGTGAACCACTTCATTAGGAGGTTTATTAAATTGTGGCCTATATTCTAGACTACTTCGAGACCGTACTCAAATAATATTGTAACCTTATATAGGTATTAATTACAAAATTAAAAAATGTCAAGGAAATTCTCTTGGCTGGCATTCGAGCAATTAAATGTTGGTTCCAATACCTAAATAAAATTATTTATTTCTCAAAAAAGACATGATTTTATAATATTTCGAACTTTTTAGTATAAAATACGTGATCGTAATAAGGGATTACTTTTTCTTTTTGCATAAACTACCTACATAAAAAAATTGCATAAATAAAGGATCACGCACTTTTCCTATGCAAACGGGAGTACCGTCAAAATGTACGAATTTTTGATCTGTTAAATTACTTGATGTCCCCATCAAAAGTGTTAAATGGGCGCAATCAGTGGCGGCTCGTCTTAATTTGAAATGGGTGTTCACTTTTTCCAATAATTTTATCATTTGTAAGATCGGTTCAAAACTTTGTACAGGAGCCAATATCGCTGTTTTTTATTATTTGAGTTTGTATTAAGTGTAGTTATTATTATCTCAACATCATACTGTTTTCAAGTACTACAACTATTAATAAATGAATATTTTAGTTAGTGTAATATTTGCTTTGTTTTTAATACATTGAAAACCATCTATAAACATCATTTTGATTATTTTCTTGTTATACAAACTGCTAAATAATAATATTAGAACATCCATAAAGCAATAATTGAAGAACGTTCAACATGGCGGGCGACGTAGTCATATGTGACCGTTGCTCCGACAATTTTGTTGTGAAAACTAGTAAAATACAGTGTTTTAGTTGTAAAAAGTATTTTCATTCACACTGTGTACGTGTAAAAGATGATTGTTTAAAATTTATCAACAGAAGTGATAGCGTTTTTTGGTTCTGCGATGATTGCAAAGTTCTTTTGCCGCAAAAACTGGTAGGCGTTGTACCCGAAAAAACTGAATACGAATCTCTGAAACGTGAAAATAGTTTATTAAGCTCCCTAAACAGCGAGTTAAAATGCAGCAATGAGCTCTTAAAAGAAAAACTGGGTATGATAATTAATTCTAATAATTCTGGATCTGGAGTGAGTACAAATATTTCTTCTAATAGTCAAAACCAACTAGCATCCTATAGTAGTGCACTTAAAAATACATCAACAAATAAACCCGGTTTAGTGATAAAATCCCAAGGATCCTCAATTAACAATGATGATGTTTTAAAGGACATTCAGAAGCATATTCATCCTGGTGACAAAAATATCCGTATCGACAGTATTAAAAAAGTTAGAGGTGGAATAATAGTGAATTGCGAAAATGATGATTCCTTAAAAAATTTAAAATCTTGTGTTAATAATGCTTTAGGTTCGAAATACAGTGTGGAACAGATAAATAAATTTAATCCACGTCTTATACTAAAAGATGTAAATCTAAATGACAAACAACCTAATGATGATCTTTTGAACGAAATCTTTACATTAAATGATCTAATTGATAATTTTAGCCTCAATGAAATGAAAATTGTAGCAGTTTTAAATTTTAATAACAAATCCAATATAATTTTTGAAACAACACCAAATTTACGCAAATGTATTATAGCTAAAGGGTTTTTATATGTAGGGTGGAAAAAATGCTTTGTTAACGATCACCTTAGAATCATAAAATGTAAAAAATGTCACTCTTTCGGTCATACTGAAAAAACATGCACATCAACTGTTAAATGCATAATGTGTTCAGTAGATGGGATTAGCCAGTTCTGGACCAAGGTCAGAGGCAAGGTCAGAGGCAATTGGTGTAATTAGTAATTACCCTAAGTACCCACCCCCCACCCTTCGAGCAAGTACCCCCCACCCTTCGAGCAAGTACCCCCCACCCTTAGCGCAATTAGCAAGTACCCCCCACCCTTCGCGCAAATAGCAAGTACCTCCGAATTACTCTGTACACCATGTTATTGCATAGTGTAATGAGTGTAATTGCATAGTGTAATGAGTATAGTAAGTACCTCTCAGTACACACAGTGATGTAAGGACCAACCAATTATTCTGTACTGAGTGTAATTACATAGCGTAATGAGCATAGTAAGTACCTCTCATTACACCATATGCATACCTCTCAGACAGTATTTACTGTGTATATCACGTAGTGTAATAAGTCTAAGTACTTCTCTTGTTTACTGTTGTAGCATAGGGGAAATAAGTCGGCGCCATGCACACCCTTGACTCTCAACCGCCATAGCTAAAGTGAATCACCGGTCTTCGGCAGACACGCGCGATGTAAATATTGTTGGAAGGGGTAGTATCCCAACCTTCGCGCAATTAGCAAGTGCCTCCCAATTATTCATTAAATTATATACTTTAATGAACGTAATTGAGTAGTGTAATGAGCATAGTAAGTACATCTCATTACTCTATACACCTTGTAAGTACCGCTAAAATAGTCATTACTATTTACCTCCTAGTGATTACTATTGTATTCTATATTACATACTATGAATATTGAGAAGGAAAATATAGTGGAGGTGGGGATTTTTAGGGAGGATATATAGCGACCTCATATCCAAATGGAATCAGTTTAAAATCGTAAGCTTTAAGAGTCTTTAGAAGTTTCAAATAATAACTGAGTGTAGTATTGTGTAGTATTGTGTATTATACAGGTAAAAAAAATATTTATTTGTATTCTACTATGGCTCAAACGCAAATTGATGCGGTTAATAAATTACTTGGAGACTGGCCCACAATATTGGACCAAAGAGAACTAAAGTCATTGGTTATAGGTCAACTTTATATTATTAAAACGATATTGGTCAAAGATACCAGATATGGTAAATGTTTACTTATTCATTTAATTGATCGGCACTCACAGGAGCTTTTCCAGTGTTGGTTACCGAGACGCATTTTTGAAATAATGCCACCCGAAGTCATTGCTATGATAAATGATTCTACTGGCCAATATGCCATGGCCTATTTAGGGGAAAAGCCGTGTTACAACTCAACTACTAGGTCTCATATAAGAATCGATCTAGTTGGCCAGCAATCAATTAGTTAAATCCATGGTAGAGTCACTGTAAATATTTTTTTACTTTTAAACACATATAGATATCTAATATACGCAATATTTCATTAAGAATTTCCACAATTTTATCGTAAGTATAACTTTACCAATATTTGTTCATTTAATAACGGCCAAATATTGTTTCAGATTATTTCGACATGTGGATGATGTATTCCGAAGAGCACTGGCCTAAAGCCATCGACTTAGAATCAGCAATAAGCAGGCTTGGAAAGGAACTGGACGCACTGGCGATGGATGCGTTACACTCCATCAATTACGACGCTGAGGTATGGCTGTTTCCAGAAGCTGTGGCCTATCAAAACGATTGTTATGAGAAATACTGTAAAGGCAGCAGTCTTTGCTGCGAATATAATGCATGTGAGCTGGACTTGGATACATTCTGTGAGAAGATGGTTACCCTAAGTTTGAAACGCTTCTTGAACGAGGCCTTACCATACATCACCCCGCAAATAAGGAGTAAACATGGTTTAGATGAAGATGCAGACGATGAGGCTGATGATGAGACAGATGACGAAATGGATTAGGGATTACTTATATAATATATCTATCTATCTGTGATTAAAATATAAATAAAACAATATACATAGTTTAATTGTTTTTTATTTAAAAAAGGTTACATCTTTTTATTTTTGTTAAAAGTGAACACAGGTATAAGTTTGGATACAGTAAATTAGATTATATGAACTACAATGGCATATATTCAGTGTGTACAGTGCCATCTAGTGCATTATAACTTATAAGAGCTTCATGAATAATAAGCGCATACGCTTTAGTGTTGGCGGGAAACTGCATTTTACGTGTTTCGAATTCAACCTTGACATCCACAGTTGAAGATTTGATTGGTTTTGGATACATACTGCAATCAATTACGAATAGGGGGTTCGCTCTAAAGCCATTCAGGCCTAACATCGGTTGGGGATTTTCCTTTTTGTAGTAACTTCGCTGAAAATCTTCATAAGCATAATAAGCGGGAGTATCCAACTTTTTCCCAACATCTAAATTCCAACGCTCTAATGGGTAAACTTCAGAATTTAGATATAATCTGATATTGCTTATATCAGCAGCCGTAAACGCCGTCACATCTTCTTTCCTGTTTTCAGTAAAAGAAGTATTTTGAAATCCAATAATTACATATCTAGGTCGTTCCATGGATGTAGTGGTTTTAATCGCCCATATGTCGTTAGAAGTTTGTCTTAGAGTAGGTAATTCATAAAGATCCCATTTATGGTGCGGTATTTTAATGGATTGCAAATGTTTGTCATTAATTTTTTTATACATGAGAACATCTGCATCATTTTCGGGAGTAATATGTTTGACTATCCAATCCATTTTAGTGATAGTTATGTCTGCATCGACTTCTCCTATATAGCAATTTTCGAATGCTCGAGCAATTATTACAGTCATCTCATGCTTAACACCTATTATCCCTTTTTTGTAAGATTCAGCAAAACCAAATAGATGTTTTAATAAGATTCTACCTGTAAATGTATTACTCGTTGAATCAACCAAAACTTGATTCTCTTCGCTGAGGCCCCAACCGGATGTTTCTAATAATTTCGCATGTTTTTCACCATATGACACCATATTTTTTATTGCTGTCGTTATAATGGGTTTTCGACATTCAGCAATCTTTTGTCCACCCATTTCATATCTAATTTCTTCAAATAGGCCAGGAAGAGCATTGTTGGCCAAATAGCACTTTTTATTAGCCTCTTTTGGCTTAAATGTTCCGACTATATTGATGTAACTATCGCAAATTAAGAGATTCAGG